GTGCACCTGTAGTTACAGCTTACTGAGTGCTGTGACAAAGCAGCCCTGAACTGCACTGTGGGGCGGGGGGGGAGTTATTTTTGCTCATATTGTGTTATATTGTAAAAGCTTTACTTCTCAGCTGAGCTGGCTCCAGCCCTTTCTCTGCTGCCCCAATGCCACCATTGATGGAGCTGCACCCGTGCTGCAGTATGTCTCCAAGACATTGTGCTTCTCTTGTCTAATCTTGCTCTGAGCAAGCCTGTGCAGCTCGGCACTGGTAACCCTGGCAGCTGTCTGGATTATGAGCAGTACCTACAAGATGACAGTGTTGAGAAGTGACTTCACTAGGTTAAGCATTATACAAACACATGGTAAAAGACAGCACAGCTTAAATAAACAGGAAAAGGATGGGAGAAATCCTCCTTTAATAGGTGGAGAATAGAAGCACCAGAATTCAGTGATTTACTTCAGGTTACACAAGGATGCACAGACCACAGGTTACCAGGATTCTTGTTTGCTGCTTTAAATACAGGACAAATTTCAATCACCTTTCCTCACAGAATCTTAAAAACAGTCACTTTGAGCTTTGGGAATTCACACGTGGGATGTTTAGTTAGTGGATGCTGGAGTACATCTGCAAATGCTAGGATGGAACAGAGCCTGGCAGCAGCAGATGTGCGAGATACCTACTGTTGACGGTGGCTATCTAGCAAGAAAGTAGGGGATTGTTAGAGAGGGCTTCTTACCTGTCATCCTTGCTCATAAGACATTCCCTACCACTCCTGTCTCTTCTCCCTGCTACACAACTAACCTCTCACCCAACACCAGTAGGAGAGCAATCTCTGGCACCAACAAAGATACCTACAGCCTCATTGAGCTGGTTCAACATGGACTCAGCTGTGCTGCCATGCCTGTTACAGGACATCTGTGACCTTTCTGAGCCACCTCTGTAAAAATCTAAGCCTGGGGGGAAATATGTCTTAGGTTCCTTCTAGCAATGATCTATTTTAATCAGGATTGTTGCTGTAGCTGGTTCTACTGCAGGAAGGGCATCAGACAACACAAAGCACAGTCAACTGTCAGGTAAATGATGTTAAAAATCACCTGATTGCATTCAGCCTTGATGTTAACATTGCCAACTGCTGCGAAATCACCCTCAGTCATGCCTGTGAAATCTGGTAAAGAGCCACAGGGAGAGCTGTGCTCTTCTAGCACTGACCAAGAGGCTTTGTTAGCGTAATCAAAGCATTATTGCTGCTAAAGCAAACATGCCTATCTCTGGGCTGTGCCTCGGGATGCTGTTCAGGTTGTCCCAGGCTTATCGCTTGGTTTCCTGGTACATTCCCCAAGAAACGTTGCACATACCTTCACTGGTCCTACTGCCCCCACCCAGGTAATTTTCTGAGCAAATGATCTGTAGTCTACCAAACAATAAAAAACAATGTTTTCACTTGATGCTTTCATTTCATTTGCACAGAGGCTTATGTTTCACTGCTGATGTTAAATGTGGTGGTAAAAGGTACAATCCTGTGGATCTCAGTAACCTCATAGTGTCCTGTTGAGGAGAGAGCACTTGTGGGATGGAAGCGTGGATGCATTTGGGAAGAAGCTTGGTATAGGCCAGTTTCCCTTCTAACTGCTCCCCTGGAATAACTCAGTTTGCTATTATTTAGAAGAAAAATAAAAAACACCCTACATCTTCTGTAGGAACAGATATTTTTTCTGTAATGCAAATGTGCTTGAATGTCAAAAGGAAAATGACATGCAGAGGGAAAAGGGCAGAACAGTCATCAACTAATTTTATGGCATGGTGGGCCTCCCAATTCTCACTGGTCTGCCCTTCTCGCTCTTGCACCTTGGAAGCTTTAATTGAAGTGAGTGTAGTTTATTGATTTTTAGCATAAGGTAACATGTTAATAGTCAGAGGAGGTCAAAGTAACTTTAGGTCATTCTAGAGAGGATGTAATGAAACATTAAGGATGTGTAGTGGATTAAAGATCTGATTGTGTTTTCAATTAAATCAGAAGTTCCTTTGATTTTAGTAGCAAAAGTCCTAGCCATAAGAAGAGAAAAGTGTATTTTTTCTTTATCTAAAGACAAATGTATTGTCCTTAAAGAAAGAAAAAGCAAGGATTTGGAAATCTCCTGCATACAATCTGTAGTTACATTCTAAGATTATGCTATTTTATGTAAACTGCCAATACTGTGTATAGTATTACGATGTCCTGTTGGCTCTAAGGATTCCTAACTTTATCTTTCTGTTGCAATGAAATTCTATAAAACAAAGATGAAAAATGATGTCGTGTTTACAACCAATAGGACATGTGGGTACCTTCTGTTTGGTAGCAGAATGAACCTGCTGACTCAGGGTCTGATTTTGCCATAACAAATAGACTGAAAATACTGTTTGATAATAATGCAAGATATAGCTTATTCTTGACTGAACTTGACTGTACTGCATACATCTGCACAATTTTTTCTATTTATTCTGAAAGTAAGGCAGATAGGTTTGCTACATCTATTCACAAAGTTATGCTCTTAAATATTTTCTTGAGAACAGCTTAATCTTTAATATTTCCAAGCACTTACAGTCCATCCTGTCTGTCCTCCCTCCCTCCCGCTCTTCTTCAGAGAGAGAAAGAAATACATCTTTGTGTGTACTACTGCACTGTATGTACAAAAAATAAACTTCCTCGCTAGCAAGTAAACCCTAGGAACAATGTTGCTAGCAGCTGTCATGCTTAAAGCCCCGCTGAGAACACTGTTCCGTTATGAGCTCTCAATGCTCTTCTCAACATCAGCGATCAACGTGCCAGGACAATGTATTGTAAACCCAAATGCCCAGGCCAGGAGACCACAAAAGCTCCTCTGTGTTCTGCAAGGGAACTGAGAAGAGGCTTTCACAGTGCTGCAGAACATGCTGGCAGACCACACCGGGTTCAGAGCTCTCAGTGTTCTGTAAAATGTTTATGGACAAGGAGGGCAAATCTTGTCTAATCCTTGGTTGAGAGCTACTATAACTGTTATTTTTTAAAAATGAGAAGAATCATATGTATGTGTTGAAGACAACCATCAGATAATTACAGGCTGCTCAGTGGCTGTATGAAGAGCAGTAGCTGAGGAACTGAAAAGGTCTTTGTGCTCCTTCCAGCAGAAGAACAACATCTCCTTATCTACTCACACAAATAAAAAGCAAGACCTATCCTTTAAAAACAAGAATACACCTATTTCCTCCTCCTTTATAAAATGGTCTTTTCTATAGTCAATCATTTTTGCAAGCAAAAAAGCCAAAGAGTTTGATAACAACAGTAGCTTTTCTTAAAGATGCAATCATAAGCAAATAAGCACCTAGTTCTTTGATTTTCACTTGGGTTTGTAACTTTAAAGTTGTTGGGAAGAGTTACCTTTCCATTGGGTACAATGGCAACAAAGTTAAAAAAAAAACAACAAAAACTTCTCATTGCATTGTCCATCTAAAAAGGAAGGTACATACTGGGGGTTTTAGGAAGTTTTGCTAGACATCAGGGGAAGTACTGTGCAACAGTGTTTCAGAGAGAGGCAATTCAGCTGCATTTAAAATACTGGTTTTCATAAATTTTATTTTAAATGACATTACATTCAGATACAGCCCAGTCATATTGGCAGAGATTTAAATAAATGTTTAAAGCTAACAAACTCCTACAATTAATCTCTTAGCTTTACAATTCTTTTGTCCTTGATACTGATTATGAGCTCAGGCTAAATTCACTCTTTTGCATTACCCAGATTCAAAATCACGTTTAAAAAAATACAAAAATGTCTAAAATTTCATTTTCCAACCTAACTTATAAGAATAATAGAACTGTTGAAATGCCTTCATTAAAAAGCCACATTGACATGATTTACAGCTGTACAAATTGTTGTTTAAAACAAGTATTATAGGATAAGTGTTCAAAGCAGTGCTAAAGATTTGAAGCAGATTTTTCCCCGCTGACCTTAAAGTAGACTTTTCTGGCTAAACTACACATAAAAAACACTTTGAAAATGTACTTTTAAAATCACCAGAATAAAAAAAAAAAACATTCAAAATAATTGTGTCTGAGAGAAAAGAGAAGGCCATATTCTATGGTGCCTACTCACACTCCAAATTCCCAGGATGTGGAATGCTACTGAAGCAAGGGGTTTCTTTGTGCTTGATGGACTTGATATTTGACTAAGACCGCATAGAAAATGGGTAGAAACAGATCCTGCACCTGACAATGTAAACAGTCTGCATGCTGGAAAAGAACTGAGTACTGCTGAGTAAGGCAACCGAGACAAAGTATGGATTAAGTGCAATCTGGTTAAGGCAGAGTTCATATTTTTGAAGCTGTTACTTCTTCTGCTTCCACTTAAAAGTACTAGTGCACTAGAATGTGCTTAAGACCTTTGGTTAAAAAGTCCTGGTGAAGCTGGAGGTGGTTCACAGAGATAAAGCTAAAGAAATGAAGTACAATGAGCTAGACAGTCCCTCAAAAAACACTGTTGACTTCATATTCTTAGAGCCATTCAGTGCAAAGCTCCAAATATATGGGCTAACAAGACAAACAAACAGGTTAAGCACAGCTTTCTCAAAATAACCCATCCCTTATTTGCCCCCTGCAAGACCCAGCTCCCACTCTGGATCAGGCATCATCTGAAATTTTACAGGAGTGAGTGTGGCAGTGTTTTGGCCTAGTAAGCAAATCATGTCCAGTCTTCCCCTTGCAACAGATGTAGAATTAGTCCTTTATCAGGCCAAATTCTGCACAATATTATGGTGATCTTAATCTAAAGTAATTTCTTTGGCATTAGTTTGGATTTTTAAGCAAAGGCAGACTTTGGCCCATTTTAGCACATTAAACCGATCCACAGCTTCTGTTTGAAGAATCAATAGATTAAACAAAGTATTGGTAACACTTTCCATATTTGCTACATGAAAAGCCCCACTGACTCTGTTTGACCAGTTTATAATTATCATTTATCCTTTCCAGTCCTAAAAATTTCTAGGTTATTCACAGAAATATATCAAAGCTTGGGAAAGCGTAACAACAGATGCATCATACTGTTGCATAAGCTTATGCTTAAAAATACTAGAAAGTAGCTGGGCTCTGATCATTCTTTGGCTTGAAGCTGAAGCCTTCTTGGATCGATCAGTTCTTCCATTTGCTGGAGTCCCAAGCCAGGAACCAGCCTGTGAATGTCGGGGGTTCGTGCCCCTGCTTCACGATTACAATGGGGGTGCCCTTATCTCTGCCAGAAGGATCTGTTTCGATGTAGCGTTTGGCTAAAACCAGAGAGGAAATAAAACATGTATTATATTAGTTCATTCCTTTGGTATAAAAAATACATAAAAAGCCCTAGTGAAAGAACCCAGGGCTACTACAATACAGTATTCAATTAAATTATTTCAAAGGCACTGAAATGATCAGGTAATCGCTGATTTCTCCCAGCTGCCAGTGAAGGAATTTTCCAGGAGGTTAAAACAGAGGGATTGTTGCTCTGATCAGTTTGTTGCCATACAGCTGGGTTTTGGCTCTTACACAAGCGAAAGCATTTGCTGGTGCTGTGCAAATGCACAAGCTTCATTCCCATTTCCCCCATGTAAAAGCCAGTACAGTTTGCCTTGACATCGCAACGTGACATCAGTATATATCGGAAATGCAGCTTGGTAACCCTAGCTGCTCCAGGGAAATACCTGCAAGCTCTTTTAGCACAATCTCTGTCAGAACGGCTCAGCTATGTGAAATCACACCAGATACGACGTGATTTTTCAAGGAGGTGCACTCTGCGTCAGTTGTCTTGATTTGTTCTGCAATTGGAATGTCTCCTCTAAATGTAACTCAGTGAAGGGCAGCGGTGGATTGAGTGACTTGAGGATTTGTTGGCATTCCTTTGACTATATACACTAGTGTGGAGTGCAGCACAGGAAGTATGTCCTTTTAAATTCTTTCTATTTTCAGTGCAGTTTTTCACGGAACTCTCCTATGTAATCTTTAAAAAGCTCTGCAGCCTGGTAATGCTATCTTGATTAATTTTACCCTTCATAAACTTAAGGATAAGAAAGATACAATGAATTTTAAAGCACGTTTAAAGGCGAAAATCATCTTCTCCAGGATTAAATCCTAATAAGCTCAGTAACCCTTTTAAACACTGTAAATGTAACTAGATTTCTTCTACATCATCTTTTCCACTTCTTTAAGTAATATTGATGCTACTTCACTCAGAATTCTGCCAAATTGATTTGATTTACCAGATTTAACGGATTCCTGTCGCTCAGTTTCATTAGCATCCTTCCCAATCCAGACAAAAACCTGCAAAGAGAGGAGAGAAAGATAAAGCTCCTGTGTTGTCATGAGGATGTTGTGTACAGCAGGTAAAGTACAAAATAGTTGATTCCACTAGGAGAAAGAATATACACTATGAAAAGACTGCAGAGATACACAGCTCTCACAAACCACAATTGATGATTTTAGATTCCTTTGCAAGAGACTAGTTCTATCCTCTGAAATCTCACTGCTCTCTTGATGCTGGAAGGCTGACCCTTTATGCACTTCGATGAAAGGAACTCTTGATTACCTTTTCCATGGATATCTTTTACAGTTTGCCAAGGAAATTGCTCTTTAGGTGCATGTAAAATCATTGAAGAGGAGCTGTCTCTGGTTTAAGCTCAGTGTGTGCATCAATGGTTGTGCCCTGTGATCAATGCTACTCAGGGTAACTGCTAGATAACGCACTGAATAACCCAACAACAAGAGCCTCGATCTGCAATCCCCACATTTATTTTTTCTGTCAAGGATCCTTTCGGAAACCAGCTACATGTCCTGGACTTCTTTCCTTCTTACCCGAGTCAGTATGTCCCAACTACTTTCCATCCAGCTCTTCCACCCACCTTCCCCTATCACTCCTTCCCACATGGACCTTGGATGTTCCTTCTCACTTCCAACAACCTCAGCCTTTTTTTCCTCAAGGGTTAGGCTGAAGAAGACAAACAAAGCATGAGATCTGTGGCCTCCTCCCCTTTTCCCTCCAAAGGGAGAGGAAGAGTAGAGAGACTATACTGTGAGAAACAGATGTGCTCTCCGCACCCACAGTAAGTTTGTCTGTCATCCAAAAATCTCTCAACATTTTCAGTTTTCAGTGAAGCTGGGACAATGACGGCAATTATTTCTGTCACCCTCCACTCAGTTCTTCTAAAGAAATCTGTGTAAGGGTCTAGTGTTTGTCCTCTTCTCTAGGAAGACTTTTGGGGAGATTTTGTGGCTTCCGAATACCTTTTATGCAATAACTATCTTTTTAAAAATCAATAAATTTTAGTGTTAGAGTCAAGAACATTATTGAGAGCCTTTCAGAAGACTGCTGGCGCTTATATTCTTACTGCCTCCATTGGTTTTATTGGGAAGTGCCTGCCACGATTGCACATTATGCTTGGAAGTCCAATCATGTATATTCACACTAGCACATCATAAATAGCTCCCTCTGGTATAATTTAAAGAAAACAAAACCTCTTCCATTCTCACAAAGATCATTTTTCCTCCCATCTTATGATCTAAGTGGTTAAGAATAAATTATCCTTGTTACCACAAAAAGCAGTGCTCAAGTACACAGCTTACCTGCTCCCAAGTATCCAGCAACATGACATCATCTTCAGCCAAATCATCCTGAGTGAATTCTCCTGGGACCTCCTCGATCTAAAAAGAGATATTACGGGCTTTTTTTCTTTTTTTTTAATGACTTTGCAAGATATTCTGATTTTGAACAGACCAAAGGTTTTTTTTAAAGGGATAAGTCTAGGAGCTGGCGTGTAATTCTTTTTGCTTCTAAAGGGTCAAGCCCTAAACTGATTTGATAAATGTTTCAAGGGTGTTTCACTGAAAGGAAACAAATCACATAATTGCGTGTCCTAGAAAATCAGCGCTCAGTTTGTCAGAATTGATAGGATATCCTCAGGAGAGGCAGAGGTTTACATTGTAATTGTGACTATTGTAAGTTGGGACTGAGGTCTTCCAGAAGAAAGGGACAGGGAAATTTCCATAGAGCACGTTGTACCAAGCAAACTAAATCAATCTTACAGCTGTTATATATATTAATTCAGCTTACGTTCATTAATAAGGAAAAGAAACTCCCTTGATTTGCAATGGGTGAGCTCAGTGATGAAATACACACCCAAGCAAGCTCCCAGTCACTGGACAATGGGGCATTACAGTGGACTGAGCCATTGAGGATCAGTCCCCAAAGGAAAGGCAGACTGCTTGCTTCTTCCAAGGGTTTACAGGCAGATAGGAAAGCAGTTTAATGTTCTTCTGCATGAGCAGGAGAGATAATAATGTAGCTAGTGGTCAGTCCTCTGCTTTTAAAGGACTGTCAAGGGTTTGGCTATGCTTGGTCATGTAGGAATGCTAAAGGGATGGTAAACAGATGGTGCAAAAGACATTCCTCTTCCCTGCCCCGTGTTACGGTGGCCAGAGCTCAGGGTCATCCGACCTGCCTATTCTGGTGAGCTCTAACAGTGGTGATTCTGTTACCAGAGAAATGCTATAGGAAAGAGAGGATTTCACAGAATTTGGAGGGAATTTAAAGCAAAAGCCAAACAAATGCATAGCTCCCAGCAGACCATTATCGAGAGGCTGGTTCCTATTACTGTATTTCACAAGAGTGTTTTAGAAGCTTGCTAGAAGAATATACTTTACTACTCTCATAAGATTTTAAAGTCCTTATTAAAGGATCCTATTTGTTTTATCTCTCTCCAAATGAATGGGTTGTGCCTGAAGGAGACTGCAGAGAAGGTAGCCAACTGTGTCCCCTACCTAGAATTTAGTGCATCCGTGCCAAATGGTGACACAGCGTTGCCCTCCCAGAATACGGTAAGTAATTAAGCCTGAATCACAGGCTTAATACCCAGCGCACAGCTCCAGGTATTTCTGCTAAGGAAGTAGGTCTTCCAACCTCCTTGAGCACAGGCCAATACCTTAGAGGCATAATTACATGTCTTAAATCTCTATGGAAAATGTCAGGCTGCTAGGGATTTTTGGCAAGGGACGCTTCTTTTCCTCACCACCACTATCAAACACGTAAGGGGCAAGGCACTGACCTGCACTTTCTCAGCAAAATGACAGGAGTCTGGCAATGCTTTGCAAGGACACAGTTGCTTTTGACTAGGCAAACACCTTATCTTTTTGCATCTGCAAGCCTCCAGTCCCAGGCTGGAGCAGGCTCTGCGTGCAAGTGTCTGCAGTATTAATTCTTCTGTCTGTCCTTTGCATTTGGATTGATTTAAAACACCAAACGTCAACTCTCTAGTTCTTGCCAAGCATGGCTAACCAAACCAGATCCCCATATTCATTTAATGTGTGCTGATTCCCAAGGCAAAATATACCAGAAAATATGTAATTAAACAGAGAGGAAAGTAACCCTCATATACTCACAATAAATCTCCCAGTCTTATTAGAACAACCATACAGGCGAGGAGGATGATCTTCAGCCTTTGTCAAGAGTTGTGATGAAGTCTGATATTTTTTTTTACCTCCAAGTGCTTTCCAGAATTCCTCTGAAATACACAATATATAATTTATTCAGCAGTGGATTTAACATTTGATGTTTTAGCTGGTTAGATACTGTTTCAAGAATCCCCAATGTCTTCTTTACTGTCTCACAGTTGGGTGCATTTTCTTACAGTTCTTCCTGCAGTTTGTCAAAATAACAATAAAGATATCACTTGCAGACCTAGAAAGAGCAATGCACTATGTCTTTCTCCCCTCCTAGGCACTCAGGGTAAAGAAAGGACCACATTTCTCTGCAGGTCCTGCTACTGTCCTACAGACTTCCAGGGCATTGCACTGCTTGTGCATCAGCCTGATCTGGATAGATCTCCATGGTACAGGTCAGATTAGATTTTCAAAGGGAGAGAATGAGCATATGCTTCTGCCTACAAAATGCATATGATCGCAAAAAAAACATTTAGGCTGTATTTCCATGCAGTGCTGCGTATGCTCAGCTGCCTATTAGCAACCACGTGGACTCATACTAACCGGGTTCCTGGCCTTCATTAATCTTAGCAGTCTGGCATTTAAGAATGCTGGCAATGTATTGAGCTCCTTGTTCCTCTTCTTTGTTTGCTCCTTTTCCTACCCAGGTGTAGCCAGAGTTGTTTGGCAGTTTCAGAACAAAGACATCATTAGAGTTTAGTGACATTGCGTCAACATCAACCTAGACCAGAAAAGAAATTGTTATATTCTTCATATTTTCAAATAATGCAATCACTATTTTGCATGTTTATATAAAACGAGTAGATAGATGTTCATCAGCTATGCTTTTTTTCTTCATTTTTCCCTAGATTTATACTGATATAAATTAGAGAAGAACTTAACTTGAGACAGGGAACTGACTTTAAGGGCAAAACTTAGGACTGTTTGGCAGTAGGAAAGACTATCTCATAAGGGTTGCTGATTTCTTGTCTATTCTTTGTCAGCTGACTGTTCACTACATGTTTTCTTACAGTATCCACTGAAAGGTGTAGATTAGTTGCAGCCAGTTACAGCATATTCTGTTCGATGGGTTGGTCACCTAGAGCAGTACATTTGATTTGGAGTTCTGCATTTCTACCAGATGTGACTACTCAACAAGCTTAGTCAGAGACGCTTGTGGCAGCTACACCACTTCCCATGCAAAACGGTTGGTTTACTTAGCAGGTGACCTTACCTCTGCAATCCTGGTGATGGCTGCCATGTTCCTGCGGATTTGGAAGAGTCGCGTGGGTGGAGCAGGTTTCTGTCCTTCCTTCTTGGATGTCCCATCCTTGTAGACAATAAGCGGTTTCTTTTTGAACAAGCTCAGTAAATGTGCAGGTTCTTTGCCTTGGCTGACTCGGATCTGTACATACGTAAAGAAATACAATAAAAGAAACAGAAGGACACAGTTAGTTATTTTTGATCTTTGTTGAATAGCATAGGGGAAGTTGGCCAATGATGCCAAGTATGTTAGCAAGAATGAGAAGTGGCAAGCTAAGAACTAAAAATATAGTTCTAGACACATTAAAGTTACAGAATTTGTGAGATTTTTTGTCAATCATGCTGACACAAGGACAAAATTAAAACTTCTAACATAATGTTTAGCTGATTAAAATGGCTGCTGTCTACTGTAATAAGAAAATTACTCTTTTTCAAAAGAACTGTCATTTCATAGAGTTTTATAGAGTGACTTAATTCCCCTGAAAAAACTATCTTGGAAGTTTAGGTGCCCTATATTTATGCAGAAGAGAATGGTTATTCATCCTGTTCATTATTCCTATGTGTATTTTATCTGCAAGAAGGTGAAAAAGATGAACATAAATCTGTCTTGCAGAGGATAACATGGATGACAAAAATGAACTTCCATTACACATGCAAAAGATGTTACGCAATATATAAAAAAAATTAAGCTATGAAGAACGACTATTTTTAGGTTAATGTATGAGAAAAGTGAATTGTATACAACTATTAATTCTTCCTTTCTAAGGATACCACCTGCCAAGGTGAGGGTTGCGACTCCCCGCCTTTCGCTCCGGGAAAGAAAGGGGAAAAAAGGGACTGAGGCAGGCTGCGTGGCCAGCAGAGGAGAGAAGCGGCGAGCCCCAGCCCTTCAGCCCTGCTCGGTGAGGCCTGGGGCAGCGGGGAGCC